CTAGTCCATTGTGTAGATTTATGCTTAATTACAAATAAACAAATATCAGCGGAAACTTCCTACAAACCTGTGAAAATGAATTATATAGTGAATTATAAGAGTTTTGTTGAATCCATGCAACTATATTTGCGTCATGATGTCTGGCTGGCATCGAAAATATGGGAGAAAGTATGCAAGTGGTCTTGAAAAAAATAGGATAAACTTTTGCAATTTGAGATGGCACATTGTAATGACAGAGAAAAATACCAAAATAAACTCCTTTTTTTCCTGTGCAAGTAAAGTCAAAGAAGGAAGAAATTGATGGTGCCCCTCCAACAGGGCAGACACAGTTTTTAACAATATGCCCTAGAAGTGTAACTGTGATGGTCGATACCCTCTAGCCAGATTCAGCTGAATGGATTAAAATCAATGACCAAATAGGCCAACAATTTGCTTAAAATGCACCATTGTAACACCTAGGTTATCCGTACACCCACTCACTGATGGTGACACGTTTTGCTATGTCTGTAAACTGTTTTCAGAGAAATATACTGTTACGTCTCCGTTCGTTCGTTAATTTTCGGTAAATTCGTTCCGACGAAACTTTAGCGACACAAGTCCTTTCTTAAATAAAATTAGTTTATTCTTTCCGAATACAACTTTACGATACACTTAATTTCAAAAGTCGCTATATAACAACGTTATAACTCACGTCTCACGTGGCCAACAATATTCTGTCCGCATACATTCAATTACTCCTTACTCCTTCCCTCGTCACGTTGTGACCATCTTATATATACCAGACTACCCCCAATCTAGTAGTCTCCCTACAATTCACTAAAGAACAGAATATTTCTAGAAGGAGGTGGCGTGATACTAGTCACGTGACCTCACTGACGCAACAATACTAATTTCTCCAAATATGATTTAATAATTAGAATAGTGCTCAAGGTCTAGTTTTTGAACAAGAAAATAGCACTGCTCATAAGGATGCCACATTTTTTTGTAGTTCACGTGATGAAATCTGAGGCCATGTTGATTCAAAGTTCCATTTGAACGAAAGTTATGCTACTGGGGATGTGTCTCCTGCAATGGTTAGATTTGTGAAAAGAAAACTTGCATTTTGGGACCAAAATGAAATATTTGGTTCATTTTACAATGCATTTTAGGGCATTACAGTACTACATGCAAACTACTATATAAGTCATCCAAGATTTATGGTAAATTCACACAATTGATTGGATGAAAATGTTTGTTTTTTTCCGGGATCGTCTCAAAGGTGAAATCAGAAAAAATATTTTGACAGAACGTATTAGTTAACCAGATGCCAGTATTGTGTAACTCTTCAGATCTTACTTATACTAAGATAAAATATATATACACATCTTGTATCACTTCTTACTCATTGTTATATCTGCTTAATTAGGCTAAGTAACAAAAAATACATGTTTAGCGTCCCTTCCCCGCTCGCTTCATTTTTTAAAACCGCCTCCCCCATTTTTTTGCGATTTTCTTTCCTTTTTTTAAATTAACGTTTTTTGATCATACAAAGAAGATTTCTGAATAAAAAATGAGATGAAGACAGTTAACTCATTTTGCCTTTTTTCTTTATTTCTCATAAATTCTGTATCGTTTTGATGAAAAAAATGAAACAAGTGTTGGGTCTCTGTTCGTTTGTTAATTTCCGGTATAAGTTCTTTCCGAGAAACTCCAGCGATACAAATCCTTTCTTAATTAAAACTAGTTTATTCTTTCTCGATACAACTTTGTAATACACAAAATTTTCACAGTCACTTTAAACTTAACAACCTTTATAACACACGCTATGAATCACAGTGATT